GAACAAAGAGAACCCCCATGCGGCATGAATGAATAAACTCTACCATTCGCCTGACGGCCGTGGTCTTCAGGAAGTGTCACGCTCTCCATTCTGTAATCGTTGGAAGTTTAACCCAGATCGCATCTTCCCCAGAATCTTTATTCGTGCCATCTAGTTCAGATGTAGCCTGTTGCATACTAAGGTTCGAAATTCACGAGTTGGCGGAAGTGATCGCTCAGTTCTCTGCCGTTGCAACTGCGGTCAACCGAAAAGAATTGCTCATATTCTACAATCCTGCCGGACCATCCATGACGTGCGTTGTGCTCGATGCAACCGTGTGGTCAAACACCTGGCGGAACGACTGCATAAGTTGGGCTATACAGTCTTCGAGGAGTTGAAAGTACCAACGGCGAGCTCGTTCATCAAGCCCGATGTGCTCGTGATTCGTGACGACGCTGCTGTAGTATTTGACGTCAGTCTATTGGATGATTACCGCAGCCAATTTACCTGGACAGACAAGATTGTGAAGTATGGGACTGACCATCATAATGCCGTTATTCAATCGGTCCTCCATTCTTTGGGCTGTGATGTGAACTCTGTTTCTCATTCATCTGTGATTATCTCGTTTGGTGGTATTATATTTCCTTCTTCAAGTAACACTATTCTTCGACTGGGGCTTCCCCCCTACGCAGTCACAGCTTTGTGTCTACTGACTATTCTAGGCTCCCTAGAAACCTACGACATATTTATGCGGAGAACCTGGCGTTTACTGTTATCACCCCTCTGAAAATTGTCTCACTATTAAGGACATTTTTTTGTCCCGATGGATGAACCTTGACTGTGATAGCACTTCTGTGTCCTGAAGAATCTTTGATTCTGTTTGACTGACAGTTCATCTATTTTCTTTTCATTATTTTTCGCGTATTTGTTTTTTTAATAATTCTAAACGCCTTTGTTATATACAGCATAATAAAATTTCTTTCGATAACTGGTCCATTAACGCTTGCTACTCTTGTGGGAGGACTTGTCAACTGTTCTATGTTGCTGAGTATGCAACGTCTCACATTTGACAGACAGCCTGTTTTCACATTCATCTTTTTATATATCTTTCGCTTAATTTTGGTGTCACCCTTTGTTCTTCCCTTGAACGAAGCTGTGTGTATTGCTCTTCAAAATAAACGACATATTGGTAATACGATTTCTATGCTCAGCGGTGGCGTTGATGGATTCCAGCATGAACTAATAGATCAATCCTGCCGGGGTAGTCGATCCTCAGGGTCATTTGGTGGATTCCATATGAGACATTGGGAATGGTGTGTAACCGGCTCCAAATATGAAATTTCTGGTCTCCTGACGTGGCTCTGTAATTCAGCTGGTAGAACGTTTGCAGCGTAAGGCATGATGTTTCTGTCACTGGTTCGAATCCAGCCGATGCCCTGAATTTAGATTTCATTTTTGCGAAACGTATCGCTTCTGTTACTGTGTCCGTCTTTAGATAATTTCCTGGAAGTGATCACAATGCAGTCAACTTCACGTTTGTCTTAAAACGTGCAGAATGCCAACCATTTTATGCTAACGCTAAGGTAACATCGTCGACCGCAATATGTTCAACACGTTGATTAGATCTTCTGAGTGGAACACACAATATTTGATCTCCCACTCTAGTGTTGTAACCGAGGTATTTAATAAGCACTACAGGTTTTGTATGAACAGTTTAGTCCCAAAAAGATTTGTTCGCCGTAATATGAATGGGGAATGGGAAACACCCACTCCAAAGAGGCAAAGTAAGCTCGAAAACCTTAAATCACAGCTAGGAAAAACAAATTTTCCTCCCTATGTTTTACGTTATTGAGTAGAAAACCGAAATGCTCAACCTGAGTGAGAGGAAACGTGCATTTAATAGCAAAAGGGGGCATGAGCTTGAGTAGACGCAGGAGCTATTGGAATGAACATTTTGTTTCAACAGTAAGTCTACAGGACAAAATTTTCCTTGATGATCCTGTTAAAATTCATGAGGATTTCATCTAACGTTTTCCTGTTTCCTTCAACAGTAAAGGAAATATAATGTTCTCAACTGCAAACAACAATACGTTCATAAGCCGTGCTCCTGTTGATGCTGTGAAAATACGGTTACAGTTAGATATTATCAGACAAAATTAAAATTCTAAACCTGATGATATCCATCATCTTGCATGCAAACACGAATGCGAAAAATTGCATTGTTTTTTGTTTAATAGTTACAAACAAGTTCTTCAACATCAGGTTCTTCATTTCTCAGTGGAAGAAGTGCAGTATTGCGACCCAAAATATAAAATCATACGATGACCGAAATTGGAAGATTATCATCGGATTAACACATATCATTTTGTTCTGGCGTATTAAAAAGGATAACAGAGTGTCGCATAATCGAATTCTTACTAGCGCAAAATCGTGCAAGTCAATCACAGTATTGGTTTCTCAGCAAACATTCTTGCATGACGTGTTAGCTGGAAATCCTCCGATTCTGAAGATGTAATTATTTTATACTGTTAGACGCAAAATGCTTTTGATCGTATGCCTCAGACGCATTCCGATCAAGATAACATGTCTTCGTACACATGATTCATAGATCAGCTAGTCTGATTCTTACATTAAAGGCCGCAAACAAACAGTAAAAATAGAGGACAATTGTTCAACGTCCAGACCAATCACCAGTGAAGTGATTCAAGGAAGCGAATATAATTGATGACATTTCTCATGGTCATATTCTGTTGTATCCTTTGGACTATCTCAGTTTTTGCCTACCATTGTTTCAGTCAAAATATTCACCCTGTAGTATTTGTCTTGAGGCTGAAATCACAAGTCGCCCCTTGTCCCGCTAGATAGACGTGTGTTTCTGTACATTCTGTCTTACAGCATGGATATCTATGCACAGGTTTCAACGCGCTGAGTCTCGGTTTTCATCGTTTTCGGTTTTCGATGATGAGAACTGATTGGGTATTGTTCTGTTGGACAGGTTCCAACGATCTCTTCTTTATATATATACACCCTTTGTGCCACCTTATCAAGCATACTAAAAAGTTTTATTTGCTGATACCGTCACTATTTCTTCTGGCATTCACGTTTCTTGTGTGGGTGTCTCACGGAAGAATTTTATGTCAATGGAGTCATCATGTCAAACTCGGCTGATATTTTCAGCGCACAAATGTAACGTCCTCGTACATGTTTGTCATGTACTGGAAGAGTTTTTAAAACTGAACGGTCATAGCATTGCAATTGCCATCTCAACCCCCTACCTCGGATGTAGTTTGTCCAGACTCATTCAGTTCAGCTGGACACATAGCGTTTTCAGCAGCTAAAATCAGATGGACGATAGGAAACATCAAACATACACTCTTTCACTCTGTTGTTTAGTTTAAAGTTTTCTACACTATTTTCTATTTCATAATTCTGATTATTATTCGCACGTTTCACTCACCTCAACTTCTCATGTACAACCAACATTTAAACCAACTTAATCGAACTAATCAATAGTCAGTAAATACAACTCACTCACACTTCTCGGTTCGCGAGCCTTGCGTTCTCTCTGCGTCCAGTACCGCTGGTAAAAACAGTTTTTTGGAGAATTGGGAGTTAACTGAATCAACCGGCTAATGTGGCAAAATTTTCTCATTTACCTGCCATCGGAATTAATCTAATGGTCGTCCAACGAATCTCATCTCTGGCGCTGTCCTCCTATCTGGTAGTGGTCTGTTCAACCTAACGGACTTTGACTTATCAATGAGTCGTTCATATTTTACCGATATATCTCCTGTTTAATTTGTATGTCTATCCTTGGGCCTATCCATAACCGTTACGACTCTTCTTTGATACTACCATATTTTGGTTATTTTTATCATTTGACTGATTGGGCCACTACATTGGCTACACCTTCATAAGCGGTACATACGATCTCAATTCGACTACTGAACTTTCACATATGGCCATCTGATCAAACTTGATTGACTAGCTATGCAGTGTCTCCAACGTCTAGCGACTGAGTGTTTTCTGGACTATTCACCTTCTCTGAGCTAGTGAAAACGCCGCCAAATGATTGCACTCGTCCTTTTTTTCCACGGCTGCCTAAACTCAACCTCGTAATCATATATAATTGTGCTTCTGGCAAAAGGTTCTCGTTACTTTTGCGATCCGCTTAAAACAATGCCCAAATTGCAGCCTCAGAAACAAGGCGTTTACTGAGTGGCTTTCATACCTCAGACGAAACTGCGTTCCAACGTTTTTCAGTAGAATATTCCAATAGCTGCAGCAAACCTCTATATATGCAATTAGGGCCAGGAAGAATGTACATCAATTCAAACGGAGGTGATCAGCCTGTCACACATCAGTAAACCTGATGTATATTTTCAGACTCTTCACTCATGGGCACGACATTCTTGAAAGTTGACCTAATAACATATGAATGTAACCTAATGTACCGCCTGATATTATATCATGTACCTTTCCAGTCTGTCCATGCTACCAGTCCCATCACTAGTGATATTTTTCAAGATTTCGAAACTTATACATGAGCACAATAGGACAGACGTTGTATACGGTTAAGTTTAGAATTACCAGGTGAACAATAAAACATGTTAATAGTCAACATATACGGGTATCTATAAACATTGTTCCGCTAGATCCAGTACGCTCATACATCATACTTAATGGTTGGACGCCATGTGTGCTTATTGATTAACGTGCAAGAGCGGTGCATGCTAAAACTGCGCTTGCCGCGTTGAGGCATGGTGTTTCTGTCGCTGGTTCTAATTCAACCGAAGCTCTGACTTTTCGTAATTGGGTCTCGTCCAAATTCATAAATCTACTACACTACCTATTAGTAATACAATATCTATGTTCAACAATGGCTTTGGTGAACCCTAGCGTGAACTGTGAGAAATCCCGCCAGGAGAGTCGACCTCCTGGGTCATTTGGTGGATTCCATATAAGACAGTGGGACGGGTGGGTAACCGAGTCGAAATGTAAAATCTTCGAGCCTCTGGTGTGGCTTTGTAGCTCAGCTTGTAGAACGCTTGCCGCGCTGAGGCATGATGTTTCCGTCTTTGGTTCGAATCCAGACAAAGCCCTGACGTTTCGCAGTTGGGTTTTATTTATATTCATAAATCTGCCACACTAATTATAGGCAACACAAAATAAACAGAAAATTATATAGTCTGGGTATCTCACATGATTGTATAAAACCTCGTATTACACTTTGTATTTATTCCCCTGCTTTGAACCTTCCTACAGAAACACCTAATCACCTCTCTACGTTTTTGAACATTCGCTTCAATATACATACATATATCAATGTCAAAATGAGGTAGCAATCAAAAACTAGAAAACCCTCAGCCATTTCTTTTTGCGTCATATGATATGGATTGTCTGCTAATGCTATATATTTCATCAACTAACACATCATTATTTATTCCGCATATAGAGTTCTGCCAAAAGATTATATATATTCCATTATTTTTTCAAAATACACATGATCATTTTGCATTATCCTACTTATCTAGTGATTCTGCGTTTCATTCTTGATTCCAAAAGTGTTTAGTGCTAGGAAACGTCCTACAACGTCTGGACACTCAAAATCTTCTATTGTTTGATGAATCGCCAGATCAGCAACATTTTACAAAGCACTTTACAAAATCCCATCCAGGCTCAGTCCATTTTTCTGAGTTGGAGATTTCCTGTCCCCCTTCATCTCGAAATTTTTCTACACACTTTTACAATGTCAATTACATCGAATGATGGCGGAATCTTTCACTCTCAAGTTTTGCTATTCTCAGACCACTTTTATCCGACACGATTTTGAATACTAGGTAAGATATCACCTTGTAAATTGTAAGTTCACAGGTTTCACGAGTTTCTGCAGGTCCAGAAGAGTCTTCCACTTGTTACTGAGCTGCATCTGGGTGACACGTAACGGGGACCTTGGCCAGGGACATTGTTGAGTTGTGGAAGATCATCGCGAAAACGCCGAATGAGAGTATGCGTACGGAATTGATAAATGAATCGATTCGAAGGGAAAATAATACGATACTAGAATCCAGTTGTCCATGTCAAACAAGCAGATACTCATCGGATGCAATATACAAAACAGACAAACCACAGCATACCAGCAGTACTGATTTGTGTAGTTCGTTCGATACTCTTTGCCTTTCTTAGTGAAAATTGTTTGGAAGATTAGATGGACTGAAAATATCTGAGGTTCTTCTGAGATATGTGTCCAGTCTCATCTTAAATAAATCAACGGTCGAAGCTGAAACGAACTCATCTGCCAAACAGTTCTAGAAGAAGACCACTCGAAGTGCAAACTAATGGTACCGGCAAGGCAAACGGTAGCGTTGATGTTGGAGTCGAGAAGTATTCTTTCTTTATTTTGCGCGTTTAGTTCTGATGAGGATGGAGGGACGAAGTTAATCTCAGTATGTTAACATTTTGTTGGCTAGTATGGTATCTTCTATCATCCTCTGAAACTCTAGATTAAACAGATTAAAACTTTGAAGTTTGCTCTGTTAAATTAGTTGCCGAAGGCCTCTTACTTGCTTTGTAGCATTGCGTTGAACTTGTGCAGACAGTAAGACATCCTTACGCGGATAGGAGGAAAAAGGCTTGAATATTTACTTCTAGTAAAGTCCGAACTAGAGAGGAATAAATGGTAACGACGCTTGCTGGGATTATGCAGCCTGGGCTGCGGTTGATGAACTCAAAGACATTGATAGCTTTCCATGCCACCATCTTGCAGTTAACCGAGAAACTTGGCTCTTGAGTGACAATCGACCCTAAGTCATTTTCCTGTTTGCCAACACAAAGTCGAACATTATCAAGGTGATATGAGATTGCACTACTATGGCAAAGCCTCAAGACTTTACACTTCGCCGCATTCACCGGTATTTTGTTAAACCTAAACCAGCTACACAATGTGCCAAGATCTGAATATATACTGGGTTCATCGGAGGGGACATGGATGACTCTCCAAAGCTTCGTGTCGTCTGCGTACAACAGAAAACTGGAAGACAAAGCAACGGTATTTCATTGACGTATTGGGTGGACTTCAAAGGTCCTAAGATTGACTCTTACGGCACTTCACATGAGGCCCTTCGGGTTGCTAAATAAGTGTCATTAATAGAGAATGTGCGTTCATTCAGATACACCTCCAGTCATAGTAACAGTTTCCCTCCAGTTCCTTACCACTGCAGTCTTGAAAGCTATGTGCCGTGGCACACCCATTCAAAAACTCTTGAGAAGTCTAGCAGGCTACTTTCTCCACAGTCCCCAAAATCGGCTGCACATAAACAGTTATTGGGTTGATAACGCACGAGTAGCTTTGTCTGAAACCGTGCTGTTGAGGGGTTATCTTTCCTCGTATTTATGGGCGTCGTCAACAACGCTTTCCAGTTCATTTGTACAGACACTGAGAAGGGAATTAGGGCTGTGGTTGAAAGCCCTGCTACATGCACCGCCCTTGCGGAGCGACTTCACTTCACATTGCTTCCAGTCAACAGGTAGTTCACCTTCATCGAAGGACTTCAAAAGCAAGTCATTTATGACTGCAGCTAGGTTATCTGCACTATGTTTTAGCAGTTTCAGTGGTATGTTCCGTCTTTCAAGTTTCACAAGAACACAGATAGGACTAAAGTCTATGTCGTTGAGGTCGAAGAGGACACTGGACGTACAGGTTCCACATTTGATCGATAAGACGGATTCGGTGGTATTCTGCAAGAAAACTTTTCCAGTCGTATCTCCGATTATTTTCGCTGCCTTCTGGTTGTTGTTAGTCGGGCCAGAATCTGTAAGAAGACTGGAAACGTTTGGTTTTACTGATGCGTTTTCAAACTATTGTTTATAAAAACGCTTGAGGTTTTGTCCTGAGTGAGCTACCGCAAATTATTGCAATTCAAGGTTGTCATTGCGAACAGCTTTGTTACACCTGTTACTTATGAGCCTATGTTGACTGAATGTTTCTGAGGTTAGGGTTGACTTGAATTGCTTTCAGGCATGATACGTGTCAAAAAAAAGATTTCCGCATGTCTACGAATATCATGGTAGGGCTTATTACCTTGGCTGTTTCTCAGTGGAACGAATAAGTTGGTAGCCGTGTCAATACTGGCCTTGATGTAGTGCCAAAATACTTCCACCGAAGGTGAAGATGATAAATTCTGAAAGATCTTTAGAAAGTGGTCGTTCATAATTACGTAATCTCCCTTAAAGTGATTGCGTAGTGTCGGAAGATCAACCACCAACCTAGAAGATCAATAAATAAATGGGAACAAAGTCAGAGCGTGACCATTGCGACCTACAGGCATTTCGACGCTGAGGTTCCTCACCAAACCGGGCTCGTCAGTGACGACTAGATCAAAAACCCTTGCACAATCTGACGAAACCCAATATATTCTCAAATCATTCTAGTTCAGCAGTGGTTTGTAGAAGTCTCGATTGAGATGCACGTTTATAACTTCGAAAGCATCATTTCGATGCCCAAAATTGCTTAATTTTAAAATTCTACCCGAAGCCAACTCGATGACTTTTCGTAAGCAGACGGCAAGATTCCCGTAGTACACTGCGCCACTTTCCAGTGGGTGGTATATAAGGGCTGAGGTAAGATACTTTTCTGATTGAGGGCGGATACGTGTCTAAATGATCTCGGGTAATAGACAAAGTATTGAATCATGTAATTACATGTAGTGTATATTATTGGACAGGCAAAGTGCTGCTTCGTTACCCCGCTTGTCTATCCTGTCCTTTCTTAAACATTCGTATCTGGTAGGTTTACTTGTACGTCCCTTATATCTGACTGGATCCACGTTTTTTTAAGTGCCATAATGTCAGATTCCTTTTCCACCTGGAACTACTTCAGTTCCGGAAGATTATTCGTCAAGCTTAAATTGTTGGTGTACTTGCAGCTCCAGTCACTTTGGTTAATTATAAATGTTCCAGATGTTATAATCCGATTTTCTATTGTTGTTATTCATGGAGGAATGACAACTGTTAGTGTAGCTGAGGTTTAACTTGCAAATGGATTGAGGCCGAATCGGAAGTAGTCGGGAAGGTCATCGTTGAGACGCTACCTGTCAAGCCGAGGGTTGAGATTGAAATTGACGAAATTCCAAATAGTTTTTTGCCCAACAATTGGCAGTGTTTGACTATCACTACGACATTAATCATGAAAGCATATTGTTCACAAATTGGAAGTGATTATTCGTCGTGATGGCTTCCATTAAAACATGCAGGAATATTTTATTTCTTGCTGAATTTCACAAGGCAACCGTAGAAGTGTCTTGGCGTAAAACGCTATTTGTTACGCACTATGCCATATTTGGCAGATGACTGTGATCAACATAGTTGTCTGACCGATAGGGAAGCACTCAGACCCAGTACAATTGTGCCATATTTTGAATCCAGACAGGATGATTCCGGGTTCGGATTTGGTCATAAAGAATTGACATTTAACAAAGGTGAGCATTTAGTTTGAAAAGATACAATGTGCATTATTGTATACAGTATCAACTTTACACTATTTGTTACGGTTAATGAATCCAGTGCTTGTTGGATTGTTGACAGTTCCACGAGACTTGTTCAATACATTCAATTAGACTGACGAATATGTGGCAAATACAGCAGAATATTGACCTGATGACGAATTTGTGAGAAATTTTGTTATCTCGTTAATTAGGAGACAGTGTGATTCGGAAAAGTGAACGAAGTGTTTCTGCGTTCGCTGTTTTCAGTTGTCCAAATAGGATTTACACTGTCAACATCTATTTGATTGTAACGATGTTCAATTAATTAATCGGTATCCATAATTATTTTGCCCAATTCTATAGCAGTCAATCCGTGTACTGACTCTGTGAATTATGCTTCTAATCACACCTGTTCATACGATTTCCGAAATGCGTTCTTCAAATCAAATTACAAGCTGTAATTTTAGGTATTTCTATGGGTTTGCCACATAATCAGAAAACGGCATGGTCCTCATTGCGAAGGTGGAGAAACGGGCTGATTGCGAGCGGATAATTAACGCAGAAGCATTAACGTTGGTCCGTCACCCTCCAATATATATATATATATATATATATATATA